GAGAGAGAGAGAGAGAGAGAGAGAGAGAGAGAGAGAGAGAGAGAGAGTGAAAGAGAGAGAGAGAGAGAGAGAGTGAAAGCACATTGGCAATTTGACGCTGACTGGCGCTACGCCAATGACAATTACTCATTTGTTCATTTATTTTCTTATGCTTCACTTGATTCACGTATTAAATTCAATGTTCATGCGATTGATTCAGTCTCATTGCTAGCGACGCATTTGACGCGAATTTTTGTTCTTTTTCTCTTATCAATTATAAATTGGAATAGAAGACATTCAAATATGCTCTTTGAAAAGATGAATTGACTTAAAAGCTTCAATTCAAAGTCAATGTGCAATCGAAAGAACCGTCGATTCAAAAGAGCATTGACGATTGCGATAGTGACACAAATTTCCGATTTTGAAATGTGGAAATAACCGGTATGCATGTTTGAACAGTTTCAACCATTTCAGATTCCAAATCGTTAATGAAATTTAATCTCCGCCGTAACATCAGTTTGCCAATTGATAGATTTGAATGTGACGCAGCCAAATGCTGTATTACTCCCGCTTGATTAATCCATTACAAAAGACATGTTGGGACACAGTGTTTCCAATGCATTTATTTATAGATTTCTCAGTTCTATTTATTGAATAGAGGCACTCACATTAGTCTTATACCAAAATATATACTCACTTTTCGAACAGTTGATTGCACATATTAAATGTCATAGCCATTAGCGCTACCATGATGTCGGCCAAAGCTAACGATATAACAAAATAATTCGTTATGACCCTGTTTGATAAGAAAAAGAAAAAAAAAATGAAAGAACGGTTGAGAAAAAATAGAATAAGAGAAAAATACACACACAAAATATAATTAATAATTCAATTCGTTTCTCTAAAATATAATTAGCTATTATTGGCTTCCCCCAACAAAAAAAAAATCGTTTTTATTACAATGCAAAAAAAACATACACAAATTCAATTGAATTTAAATCATTTGGCGACAACAAACGAGTGTGCTAGCTCACGCTGTTCACAATTAACAACTAGGATGTTAATTTGGCGAAAATATTCGCAAACAATAGGAAAGAAATGTTACTATTAGTGTTTGCTATGTTGTCGAATGTCTCGTGCCAGCTATGTGATTGTTCACGATTCATTTACAGAGTGCGGACACACAGTGCAAGATAGAAGAGGATGGAGAGAGGGCGAGAAAAAAGAAATATGGTTGCGTGCAAGCGTAATGTTGTGCATAGAAATCAAAGATATCATCGTACAATGGAAGTAGCATCTGTTCAAGCAACAAATAATAAAAGATACATTTCTTTCATTTCTTTCCTGTAAATGTAGTTTCATTTTTTTGAAAATGTCGAATGTAAACATAATATTTTTGAGAGTTGGCTTGGCTTGGCTTTGGATCGTGTTTCGGATTCTTATGTTGTGTGACAACAACTCACTATATATGAAAGAGACCATAAAAGTGGCAACTGTTTATTACCACACATAGAAATTTATGCAGGCATGTGATTGTTGAGAAGTGGTTCGATGAGGGAGCCCATTTGCCACTTTCAATCAATAGAAAATACTTCTCGGGCATTGAAATGAGACAAAATAAAAACGGAAAACCCCATAATGTTGGAAAGAAGATTTCGAACTGTCATTGATGAAAGAATATGTTTTCATTTTTTTTAGACAACATTGCTTTTGCGATCAATGACGAGAGACAATAGAAGATGTCATTTGCTGTTGCAGGCACTTTGTTTTATTTCTCTTTTTTCTTTCTATTATATTTATTCTTTGTTTTTATTTCAACAATGACCTAGTTTTTTCAATCGAATGTATTCACTTCCGTTCGTTGTTAATTGCCCGAATTTGGCATTTAGGGTGTGCGCGCATGGAAGTTATGGCCGAATTAAAGACATAAGATGCGGAAAGAAATCGAACAAGAAAACTTTTGGATTCAACAGTAGAAGAATACACCGAACAGATATATACCATACACTATGCATACAAAATCATCGTAGATTAGTGATATTGTCGTTTGCTGTAATCCCGGATGATTTAAATTCAATTTGATTTTGAGCACAATTTGGCTTCTTTTTTTTGGCAACTTACCTCAATTTTCTATTGCGCATCACAGATATAATAACTAGCAGATTGCCAAAAACAGCAGCTAATATAATTGATATCATTGTCGATGCCTTGAATACGAAAAATAAAACATCGAACCAATCGTGTGGTTTGACAACGCTTGGTGAAGCGGTACTTGGCATCGATGATGCGGCACCGGCTGAAACAACAGCGGCAGCAGCTAAATTTAACGGCGTTGTTGTTGTGATGGTAGACATTGCATGCTGTGGTGGTGGTGATGGCTGTTCACGAATAGTCAGAGAAAAGAACAAAAATAGAGACGATCGAATGCAACAATGTTGATGAAATTATTTGGATTAAAATCTTTTTTAAGTCACTTATTTGAAAAAAAAAAAAAAAAAAAAAAAAATCTTCATCATAAAACTGCTTACCGTTACTGTCGATGGTGGTCCATTTTCGCCATAAATTCCAAATATATTTTTCGATATTATTAGTAAAAATATTATTATGTATTCTGGAGTTAGTTTATGCAGTAGACACATTTTTATTGCTTTTAATTATTATTATTTTTTGTATAATATTATATCTATGAAAGTTGTTTGATTTTCTCTTGTTTTCTTTTTTCGCGTTAGAGAACTGATGTGAATGACTATTTCCTTGTATCTTTGGACTGGTTTTTTATTTACACCAATTCTCTATGTAAATAAATAATATTTTAACTTGACTTAATGCTTATAATTTTGTTGTTTTATATTGATTTTTTATATTAAATTTATTTTGCTTGTCGGTACTTTTTGCCACTTCCAGCAATTCAATTGTATGCGTGCGCCTTCACTCTTTTAAACACACACACCACTCAATTTCTACTTCGTTTGATTTGTTGTTCGTTAAATGTTATTAAATTAGATGCGTTTGATGATAATAAGTTATCGAAAAATGTTCGACGACAACGAAGACAAAAGAAAGACGTTGAATGTTTCGAATGATGAATGGTCATAAATATAATTTGTGTGTGTTCTATGTGCGTATTTGAATATACCGAAATAATATCGCAGCGGATGCCCGATTATATTTGTATCAAAATTAATACACTTGGTTTTTTCTTTCGACTATTTGGTGTGTCGATCAGTTGTGTTTGGCTTGAGTTCAACTTAGTAATACGATTTATACTGCTTGCCATTGTAATTTTAGCACATTCGCCTGAAACAAGAGAGAATGAAAGAAATTAGTTAGTATAGAATTGTTACAAATTACGAACATAGATTATTGGTAATAAGATTTAATTTGGATATATACATCAGAGTATGTGAAAATGTTCAACTAAAAATCGAGAGTGAGTTTGAATGTCAAGTTAGATTTGTGCTTAGAAATTCATTTTGTCCGTTAAAATATATATATATTTGCGGTTTTATACCTACAACACGACACTCGCTTTCCGCTTTCATATTATTATTTTTTTGTTCGTCTATCGAGTGTCTAAGCGAACACGATGAGAAGCATGTGCGCGCTCTAATAATAATAAAAACAATAAAACACAAAATGTGGCGCGAGCTGACATTTGGCGACATTCTTGCTTTAATTGATATTTTGTACGCAAGTGGAACAGAATTTGAACAAAAAAAATGTCTCAAATAACGCTATCGTTGAGGTTTTTTCTTCGTTTTTTACGATGAGATTTTTTTATCGAGCTTTTGACCATTTGGCTTTATGGCTGAGGTTATTTTTTTTTTTTTTTTTTTTCAAATATTTTGTAAGGTATTCGAATTTCGAGCCAATAAATACAGCACAAAATATTGGTATGGTTAAAATATTTCTCTTTTTTCATTTGTATAGCGTAAATAATGACCTTTTGAGTAGAAAGAAAGCCATACTACGGCTGTCATAGATATGGGCAATTATTTTAAAATGCATCAAGCAGACAATTTTCAATTCTTTTTTATGTGAACGATCCAGAGGCATATTTTATTTTGAATCCCGTCATTTTTTATTAAAGCATCATTATTGCGATGTGCGTGGCTGTGTGTTTTTGATGACATAATGTGCGCTTGAAATATACACAATTTCATTATAAAGTAACCCGAGTACTTCATCATATCAAATTAAGCAGTCAATTGTTTCCTGGGCAAATTGTCACAATTGCTGCTAAATTCCATTTGCGTCGATTTGTGAGTGTCTCAAACAATTTTATCTGTTTGAAATGCACATCGGCCAAATTTAAATGAGAGAAAACGATGTGGTAAAAATGAAATAAAAAATAAATTGAGACTCAACAAAATTGAGTTGTATAACGGCGACTCGAACAAACGAGAGATTCATAGACAAATGATATGGACTTCAAATAAAAAATGGTCAAAGAAAACATCAAAACGATACACGTACTTATTAATGCCACACCATCGTTACAATAATAAAAAGCAATGAAACAAATAATGGCTAACAAACAAAATGTGTGCACACACACACACACACCAATCGAAAGTATACAAATCACAAATGGGCCACACTTGATGTGTGTGCTGGGGCAAATTTACATCACATCCATTTCTCAAAATGCGATTCAATTCATACAACAAAGGAAAGGTGAGTGATATATATCAATCGCGAATAGGCAACAAAATGGCAAAAAAAGGTAGCCAATTCGAATTTTCTTTTTTTTTCGGCAAACACCATTCACATATACACACATATAACTGAATAGAACGATGAACGGCAAAAAGAAAGATAAATGGTAAGCGCCCGTTCAATGTGCACTACAACACATAAATATAACGCCGTATCATCAACGTTAACGGTAATTTTATCATCCTCAATCAAGTGAAAAGTATCCTTTTGCGCTATTTTACCCGCCTTACACTTTTCTTTTTCATATTATTTTGTTTCGTTTCAACGTTTTTTTTCCTTCCTTTTGCTCACACAAAACAACACACACATCAAAACATATATATATATATATAAAAGCGAATATTTTGAGTTTTTCTCTTTTTTAATCCATGTAAAAGAAAACCTAACAAGTCATAATGCGTGTAAGATTCGATTAGTTCTTCGTTTTTTCGCTCCCTCATTTTCTATGATTCTTCTCTTGTTGGTTGTGTATGTGTGTACGTAATATTTCGTTTCTTCTTCATTTTTTTTTGTCCGTGCTTTTTCCAAAAATTTCTTGTTTCGTCTTCGTTAGATATCATTCGCATCTACTGTGCGGGGGTGCTTTTGCTGTTACCAGTGATGCTATAAATTTCCATTTTATTGAACATAACTCTTGCACCATTAAAGATTGCTATTTCAATGCTTTCGGTAATATTTTTTATTATATTTTCGCTAGTGCTTGTTTGTGGTAGTGGAAAAAGTTTTTTTTTTTCGTTTTCATCTTTCAATCGTATATAATTTAAAATAAATACAAGACGAAATAAAATTTATCGAAACTGGTGAATATATGTTTTCAATATTTTATAAACTTGAAAAAGTTGTCACCAGAGGACATTTTTTTTCTTCCAAGTTTATCATTTTAGAAAGGATGATATGTGAATATTTTCAGATTATTTTTCCAATTTCAGGCATGCGATAAAAAGTGAGCCAAAAGGCCAATCACAATATTGTTAACATAGTGAATCTTTTTATTCTTTGAGCGATTTTTTGGCTAGGCTGTGGACACCAATTTTTTGTGGTTTTTCATTTAATATGTATTTAGTTTCTTCAGCTCAAATGAATTGCATTTGCCAATGTATTCTTCATCTATTCGGAATACAACAGAATCCATTTCAAACTCTTTCTTATTGAACACAAATATTTCGTTTACAGAAATATACCGTTAATCTCATCATAAGAAAAGTATTGTCAATTTGTTTTGTATGTATAAAATTCTCCAATTGTATTACTAATGTATCCTTTATGAAATGACAACACTTTTCATATGAAAAAAAAATGGACTTGAACATTTTTTTCCCAAATTTTTTTCTTGTACTATGCTCTAATTTTCAATAGTAAAAATTTGTGTCTACCCCCTAGATTGTCTGTAGAACGACATAGATGCTGAGACAATTGACAAAAAGCTGCGTAGTACAACGTTGCAACAAAAGATAAAGTAAAATAATAAATGCAAAGCGAAAGAAAAATCGTCATTTTTATAGTTTCATCGAGTGTGAAACGAGAAGAAAACATGCACAAATCTTTTTAATCTGTTTCGAAAATATTATCAAACAAAATACAGTGACGCTGATGATTTTTATCGTTGGAATGAAAATCATGTCATAGGCTTTATAACAAAAGACGTAGAGTGTGAGTGACAAAATACAACATGAATATTCTGTGCGAAAAAAGACAAAACGACCAACGTGAATGAAAAACAAAATGAGAAAAAAAGAAGAAAAACGAAAAACTCTCTAGCATAACACTAAATAGCTTTTAGTGTTTCTCAACACGTAAAACTAGAACTCTCGGTGCACGCTTTTCACAGTTCAGTTGATGATGTAGATTTTATGCAACTTAACCAAACAGTTTCACAATCGAATAAGTTGAAAGAGCTTTTCAAGTGGATGATAGATGTATATTTTTTGTGTATGTGTTCGGCAAACGCTTTATACATAATGCTCGCACTAATGTGTGAGAATAAAAGAGAGTTTTTTTCTGCACTGAACACAAAGGAAAAAAAACCGTTCGTATTCACATGGAAAACCTACATTAACCGCCTTCATATATTTCTTTTGGCTTGATTTTTCGTGTAAGTTTTTTTTTGTCCATTGTATTGGTAAAACTTGAAACATAAAAAAGGAGACCAGGATGAGAGAAAAGCAAGATAACAGGGAAGGTGAATCGAATTGAAAAAAGTGTGAACATCTAATTTGATGATTTGACGTTTGGTTCGACTAAACCACAAACATGATGATCTCACACTATGGTCAAAACGTTCAACGTTGTTTTCTCACTCTCCATTTTTCTATTCTCAAAAATTCCAAAAATAACACTCAATCAAAAAAAATAACAAATAAAGAAAAACTAAACGGATTGCAAACATAAAATGCATTGACATGAAAATTATACTCAAACGAATATGAGAACGAGCCAATACGGCATTTGGTTTAAAGGAAATACAGAACCGGATGAACCCAAAAAAATGTTTGAATGAAAATGAACCCATTTTTATTGTACCATCAACAAAGTTTTTGAATGAAAACGAATGCGTAATCATTACAACGGAAGAAACCGTTCAATTAAACACTTTTGCAGATATCCAAAAGATGAACGGAACAGTTTGGGGTATTGTGCTCTTTTTTCTTCCAGGTTCGATAGTTGAAAAATAAAATGTCGTTCTGTAACCAATTGTGCGTTCGGGCACAAGTTTGTCTGTTTGCGTTCCGGTTGGTTAAATCAAGTGAGAGAGTGACAAAAGCATGTAATGTTAAAAATAAATAGGCACGTATTAGAATGTTCATGTTATCGAGATACAATTTGCAAGACAATATTGAAACAAGTCGAAAAGAAAACGAGAGCGAGAAATGCATAATGACAACATTATGATAAGGCGAACAGCCAATTGCCAATGGCTCTATGACAAGGGTTTTGAAGATTTGACATATATTTTCTTATCGAATATCAAGTGTCTTATGTACCATTTGAGTGAAACGAAGAAGAAGAAAAATCAGTTATCAGACAAAATTTAACCGAAGAACATACCGATTACATCTGCTTAACAACAATGTAGCAATAAGGGCTTATATGTACGAATTCAAGCATTCTATTTTAAATAAATTTCGATTGAATACATTGAACAACTAAAAACTATAAACGGTTGCTATACAAGATACATTTACGGTAAGACTGCTCCTCTCCTTTTCTGTGGCCATCATTTCACTTTTCTTATGTGATGAAGAAAAGTAGATCAAATATGTATTGGTCTGGTGTTGACATTTGATGGATGTATACCTGAAATTATGTTCGTGTTGACATTGGGCACGATTTTACAACCTTCGAAAAATCTAAAACTTCAATGCTGAACGCAATCGGGGGATGTTTCGTCAAAGGACAAAACTAAGCTAAAATTAATTTAACACAAAATTTAAACGGATTAAATGCGACATTCAGCTGCTCCGAAGGTAGCAGCACCAATTTTAATTGAATACCAAGGATCGAAATTTCGTTCATTCAAGGATGAAACCTTTTCAAAATGGTTAAATTGAAACCAAATCATTTGCCTTTATTCTGGCTGT